ATTTTTAATTTACAAATGATTTGAAATCTATTTTTATATTAAATTAAGTTAAAAAATAAAAGAAGATACAAATAATAACTAAAAACAATTGGCAGCTCAGAAATGGCCCACAGGCTGCCACTGTAACAACCCTGGTGTATTTGGGGGTGGCACCTGGGGTGGCCAATCAGGTGCCACCTCTCTGGCTCCGCCCCCAAATGTTTGGAGCAGCTGATTAAATACGATCTAAACACCAGTTTTCTCTCTGTCCCATTAATGCTGGATTAATTAAAAGTTCATCACCYGGCTGCACAACATGAAACCCGAAGGGCGGCGACTTGTTGGGTTTGGTTCTGGAGACGATTCAGAAGCGGACCACCAGATCTCTGACTCTGAGGTTCGGTTCAAAGTCCAGATTTTATGCTCTGTTAGCATTCAGCAGTGGTGGGCACAGCTAAATGCTAATGCATTAGCTGTAAAAAATTAGCTTTGCAAATCCTAACTCGCTAAACAGATAAATAAATGACTGAAAGCTAATGCTAACTGCTAACTCAAGACGTGTGTTAGCCACAGAAACATCAGAATTTGTGACACAAACACAGTTAAAACCTCACGTAGGTGAATTGCAAAATGCTAAAGATGCTAACACACAAAGTAGCACAGGTGGGCAACGCTTCAGGTGAGGGGGTTGTTTGCTTTTGTTAGCTGAATTCATGTCAGCAGAACTCAATTTAATGCAAGCTAACTGGTTTGCTAACAATTTCAAAAGTTAGCAAAAATGCTAAACACTAAGAAGCTAGCTTTGCAGTTAGCTATTAGCGGATTAGCGGAACTGTATTTAGAGAATACAACATGGGTCTGACTCTCAGCTACTACCACCAAAGTTCAGCTCAGTTTATATAAAACTGAACAAACTTTTAGTTTCTAAATTAACCTGGCTGCTGCAGCTAAATTAGCTTAGCTACATTAGCTGTTTTGCTAACAAATGCTAACAGATGTGTTGGCTCCACCTTCAGCTGCAGTTTAATAATATAAAATATCATTTTATTTATAGCTAAACATACTTTTTAACTAAATGTAGCTGCAGATAATTTATTATTTTTGCCTTAACTTTTTATTTTAATTGCTTTATTTAGGCTTTAATTATAGAAAATCTAAGAAACATCTTGTATTTCGTTGTTTTATTTTAGCAAAAAGTAAAAACATGAAATAAATCAGATGATGAAGTAAAAGTTAAAGTCTTAAAATGAAAGAATATTTAGAAATGTTTAAATGATATCCATTTTAAAATGTTTACAGCTCGCGGATCTGATTTACAGAAAACATAAAGTCAGCGGGCTGAGCTCAGCACTCCGGTTCTGATGGTTCGGTTGGAGTCACACACAGAAAGGAACAGAACCGGGGACCCACCTGTGCGGTCCTGGAGGTTCGGCTGCTTCCCTCGGCTCGAGCTGACAGATTAAACTCCGAGGAACGGACTGACGGACGGACAGAAGAAGAAGAATCGGTCCTCCAGCTGCTTTAACCTGCGGCTCCTGTTGATCAGCACCTTTTCACCAGACAGGCGGACACCGCGCTGCCACCTGCCGGTGGAGACCRGAACTACAGGCGGCCTTTTTTCTGCTCTGAGTAAACTGAGTAAACTTCATTTGAATATTTTAGTACTGAATATTTACTTCAGTATGGAAGCCCATTTCCGCCACCCTGATAAAAAAATAAATAAAAGTTGTGTCTCATAATTATGACTTGACTTAGCTATCTCATATTTATGAGATTTATGAGATAGTATCTCATAATTATGACTTAGCTATCTCATGATTATGAGATAGTATCTCATAATCATGAGATAATATCTCATAATTATGACTTAGCTAAGTCATAATTATGAGATATTATCTCATGATTATGACTTAGCTAAATCATTATTATTATTAGATTATTATTAGATTATTATTATATTAGATACTATTACTATTAGTATCTCATAATTATGAGATAGTATCTCATAATTATGACATAGTATCTCATAATTATGACATACTATCTCGTAATTATGAGATACTATCTCATAATTATGACTTAGCTATCTCATAATTATGAGATATTATCTCATAAATATGAGGTAGCTAAGTCATTATTATGAGATAGTATCTCAGATAGCTATCTCGTGAGATACTATCTCGTAATTATGAGATAGCTAAGTCATAATTATGAGATAGCTAAGTCATAATTATGAGATACAAGTTTTATTTTTTTTATCAGGGTGGCGGAAATGGGCTTCCATACTTCAGCTATAACAAGACTGTAAAATTGTGTACGCTGTTTAGTTCTTATAAACAAAAACAGTCACATTGACATTTACCCGTCAATCATTCTGGATAAATATGATGAAAACATCAGAGATGGTCTGACCAGAGATCTATTAAGCAGAAAAGTTTATTTGGCACAATGTCTGACGTTCAGCTCCCTCTATAGAGCTAATAAATATACTATTAGCTCCAAAGCTAAAAAATATAGGCCCTAGTTTTATCTCTAAAGATAAGAAATTTARTGTTAGCTCCAGAGCTAATGAATACAGCRTATTACCTACAAATATATTGTTCTGTAGAGCAGAGTGGGGTACGCCAGCACTTATCCTGGTTACTAGATTGTAATTATGTTAAGATTAAATATAAAATACAAGTAACTACAAGAGACATCTAGATTAGATTTAAGCGTATATCTAGATTTKTACACCTTATAAGACCACATATACTCAAAATTTTAATTATGAATTTCCTCCTTGTCCGTGGGCTTAAAAAAAAGAATTTTCTACAGCACGCCTCACCRTAATTTGAGCATTATTACATGAAATTGCGTATAATTTCTTAATATCATCTCAAATTAAAACTCTGGCATGAAAGGCRKCGGGCGAAATGCAAACTCCAGATGTTTATTTATTGTATGGAGAGTTTGGTTGAGTTTCTTCTACTAAAAACTAAAAAAAAAGTTTCTTAAAATCCACCACATGATGGCAGCATCAGCTAACGATGTGATGTTTGTGGAGTAACGGTTCACTTTGATGGAGTTTATTTATTTAACAATAAAACATAAACACTTAAAATGAAAGATTCTGTCCATCGGCACATTTGAATCGATTGATTTGATTTGTAACAAAGAAAAGTACCAGTTCAGGACATCATGTTATGTTTACACAGTGAAATGAGCCCAAGTTTGAGCCAAATGTTTGGGGTTATTTTTTAACCTTTGCTCTGGTTGTGCTGAGTCAGCTGATCCTGAATCAAAACACATAAAGCAACCCCCCCCCCCMCCCCTGTTCTCCTGTAGAGTCATGAACACAGGCTGTCATTGGATTTATCCCAGAAAAAAGACTACAAACACAACAGAACACAACTCTGTTCATGACTCATGGCCTGAAAACTGAGCCTGTCTGGTTCTGATTTCCTCACTGTGGTAATCCCTGAACACTGTTGAGAAATCCCCACCACGCCCCCCCACCCCGCCAGGGTTTATTATCCGACCCTGTGGGTTAGGGTTCTGAGCCAGAGGAGAAAACCRAGCTCAAAACATCACATCATGAAGGTAAAATTTATTAATCTTTAATAATCTGAGTCTGTTTGACTTTTATTTTGAAAACCTTTACTACTAAAGTCTTCTTGTTTGTTTCCAGCTGAACTCGGCAACTGCTTTTTGGTTCTCGGTTGCCTTTTTAGCACCGGTTCAGTAAGTTTTTTTTTTTAATTATTATTTTAATGCAGTTTAAAGGTTGAATATTCTTATCAAACACGTAACTCTGGTGTAGTCACAGGACTGAAGTGTGTAAGACTCAAACAGGGATTAGAGTCAAAATCAGGAGTATCTCTGTAATAAATGTGATTTCTCGTCCCGTCAGCTGTCAGCAGCCTGTGAACTGTAGATGGGGGTCGTTTGGAGACTGGTCCGAGTGTGACGGCTGCTCCCGTACCAAGGTACCCCCCGCTCAGTCTGGTATCAAGATCACCTCCTGCCTGAAAGGATCATCATGTTTTTCTGAAACAATAACAAAATATCTTATGAACAAACRGATATCAAGTAATCTTTGAACGTTTCAAACCAGTTCGACCAYATTMAAGATGGCCGCCAAGGCTGGTTGACCGTAGAAAACTATGAAATGGCTCAAATCTGTGAATGTTAGTCCCCTTTACAGATTGTAAAAGACCAAGTGGAGGAAACACACAGTCCAATTCAACCCAATACAGTTCAATTGACAGAATTCAATCTAAACCCAACAAAATCGGATCAAATTACTAACAGCCTACTGATTTGTTTCCATTCAGTWCAGTCCAGTTCAGTCTAGTTCCAATTGAACAGAGTTGATTTAGATTATAATGTGCTTTAGAACAGGCAAATTGGAATCTAGTGACCGACAGTCCAATTCAATTCAGTACAGYACAGTCCAACTCCATCTAGTTTGTTCCAGTTCCAATAGACTTTAATCCAATTACTTACAATTCAACCCAATGCAGACAAAAGCAAACCCAGTTATTTGTGRTTCAGTCCAATTTATTCCAGTTTATATCCAATTATTTTCCAATAATATCATAACTTCTGTACAAACAAAACTCAACACTCAAGATTCAAGACTAATTCAGTCCAAATCATTCCAGTCCAGTTAGTTATAGTTATGTTCAATCCAATTCAATCGAATTCTGTTGTAATTCCGTGCTGACCTGTTGGATTAATTTCCACAAATATTTTATATTTTCGGCTTCATTCAGGTGCGAACTCGACAGGTGGAGSTGTTTGCTCAGTTTGGGGGGACGCCATGTTCAGGAGACGCCACCCAAACACAACCCTGTGTCCCACAGAAGACATGTCCCATCGAGACCGGCTGTGGAGGCAGGTTCCGCTGCACCTCAGGTATGCTGCGCGATGAAGCAAATCCATCATGCGTTCTGCAGATTAAATTATACTTTATCACAAAGATTTAAGTGTTTCCTCAATCCTGATCCAGGTCGGTGTATCAGCCAGTCTCTGGTGTGCAACGGAGACCAAGATTGTGAGGATGGTATGGATGAGCGAAACTGTCACCTCGACAGCAGCCAGTATTCATGYGACAGTGACAAAACACCTCCTAACTCTGACTTAACAGGAAAAGGGTACGTAGAAGAAAAAACCTGATGCAAGATGGCCGCCACATATTAGCAACCTCCACCAACAAAAATGGATATAACTCAGTCAGATTTACAGATACTGAGGCAAAAATTKGTGTTGTAGTAGATGAATGTCATCACCATCAAATACTTCAATCACCAACAGATCACGAGTTACTATGAGCTAATAGCAGAACAAATTTTCTGTTTAGCAGATTAGATTCCTTAACTTTGAAAACTGGTTGTGGAATAATTAGCTTCCGCTAAATTAGGTTTTGTCAACCTTAAGTGCACAAACAGCTAAMCAACAAGCTAACATCAACAGATTTGTGTCAGTCCCACCAGTCTTCAGCTCGAAGGAGACAGACTGAGTGACAGTCGTATTAGYGGTTAATTAGTATTAGTATTATTAGTTGGTATTAGGTTCTGCTAAATTAGGYTTTGCCAACTTTAAGTTCGCTAATGGCTAACTAACAAGCTAACATCAACCGGTTTGTGTCAGTACCACCAGTCATTAGGTCAAAGGAGATGCAGATGTTTAGCCATTTAACGTAGAATGTAGCGTTRGCGAGGGTATATCTTCAGTTAGCTGGTTATGACTTAGCAAAACTAACATTTTGRTTAGCTTTTCCCATCACTGGATATYGGCTTATGGCAGGTCATGTTTGGAGAATCATTTGTTGCTGTGGCTGAAAGGTCATAAAAAAGCATTTTGTGCCTTTTCTCCCAGGTATGATGTGCTAACTGGAAAGCTTAAAGCAGGTGTGATCAACACTGTGAACTTTGGAGGACAGTGCAGGAAGATCTTCAGCGGAGACCATAAAGTGATGTTCAGACTGCCACGGAACGTCCTCAGGTACAGTTTTGAGGTGAGTCAAACAAAAGCATGTCAACGGACCAGTGTCCAGAGAAACACAGACAGACTGAGTTAGTCAACAGAGTTTTAGGAGCTACAATTAGAATAAAAGTAGGTGTTGAACTGTGTCGTCTTTTGTGGCTTTAGGTCCACGTAGATAACGAGGAAAGTGACGAGTCCTATGAGAGCGCTTGGTCCTACGTTCAGCACATCCAGTCCAATGCTTTGGTGGGACATGACCGTCGTTCCTTCCATAAAGAAGTCTCCGACAACAAGGTAATCAAGGTTTGGTGAACTTGAGTTTTGGTGACACATTGACCCCAAGTCAGATGCAAAGTTTCTTCTGGGAAATGGGATCCATTGAAGAAGCTAATACGTCCAAACGTTCATATTTATTCAGTTACTTTGAGCATTTTATGATCCCCTTACATCCCACATAAATGGGCCAACATATCCTTTAACATAAATACACAAAAGAATAGATGGAGATTTAAGTAGAGGCCAACGGGGGAGATGGGATTGGGTTTAAAACTTGAAGTGGTTTTAGGTGAGACTTGTCATGGGATCAGGTGTTACCAACATTCAGTAAAATAACAAATCTTTCCCCCTTTTTCTTGTCCAGGCCTACAGACTCATAATCCTGAAGAACAAAGTGGAGCTGGCCCAGTTTCAGAACTCTGCCCCAGAGTATCTGACCCTGTCTGACAGTTTCTGGAAGGACTTGTCCTCGCTGCCCCTCACATACGACTACTCGGCCTACCGTCGGGTGCTGCAGACGTACGGCACACACTACCTCTCGGAGGGTTCACTCGGAGGTGAATACCAGGGCTTGTTGGAGCTGGACCATCTGGCACAGTCATCTAGCAGTAAGAACTTTCTGTATGAATATTGTTACTGTTGTAGCTGTTGTTTTCCTTTTAGCTGCTCCCTCGGCCGACAGATTGGGGCCTCGTCCTCAATAATGAGGGTGATGCTTCGGTTGAGGTGAAGAAAGAGCTTGTCGACGTTACAACCATCACCTGTGAGCATGAGGTTTGGACCATGAAAGAACAAAATCCTAGATACAAATGATCGAAAGGAGTCAGCTGAGGTGATTCATCTGATCTGGATGCCTCCCTTTGGAAGTTTTTTGGGCATGTCCCACTGAGACCAGACCCCGGAGCAGACCCAGAACTTGATGGAGGAATTATATATCATCTCATTGGGATACTCTGTTAGGAGCTGGAGAGTGTCTCTGGGGTAAGAGGGAGGTCTGGGTTTCTTTCCTGGACCTGTTGCTTGGCGACCCCACCTTTAGTGGCATGAGATGAAGATGCTCTTCCCGTAGGGGTCACCATAGCTCGCAAATCTGCCTGAAAGATTTGGCAGTTCTTTTATTCTTGAAACAACCTGGGATTGAAACTGCAGTGTCAGGGTATCGAGACTGTGGCACTGACCACTGAGGTACCGCGACCCGTATGAGTACTTAACTATAAATAACAAATCCTTACATGCCCACTAAACTTGATTCAGGTTGTTGACATCTAAATATCCCTTAAACTGCACTTCATTCATGTTTTAAAAATTAAGTTTTGAAGAATTTTGTATTCTCCACTGCAAATGAAAGTCTCATGTATGGTACTCCTGTCGTTTGTTTGAAGGTGTAACAGATATTGAGTACCAGAGGTGCTGGAAAAAGGTGAAGCGCTTCCTCTTCGTTAAGAAAACCAAAATCACCTGTGAAAGACTGAAGAACCATTTGGAATCAAGCTCTCGTGAGTGAAAGAAATTCCATTATTGAAGTACAATTTGTGAGTTAAAATTTGTTTATTCAAATGAAGCGCGAAGTCAATTTTTATTTTTATTTATTCCGCAGGAACCAATGCAGACAAACTGTCCATCAAGGTCAATGTGTTCGGAGGAGATCCCAGCTTCATCGGAGCTCTGTCTGTTCTGGATCTAAAGAACCCAGAAGCTAACGGAGAAATCTACAATAACTGGGCTTCGTCTGTTAAAGACTTTCCTGATGTCATAAATCAAAAGGTAAAACTTGCCGTTTTAAAACTTTGTGAGACTTCCACCTTATTAGTCATTTTATTAGTTGATGTTACAGTTTTTGATAGTTCTCACCTGAAATCTGAATGTGCATTCCAGCTGCGCCCTCTGCACGAGCTGGTGAAGGAGGTGCAGTGTGCAGGTTTGAAGAAGCTGCATCTGAAACAAGCCACGGAGGAGTACCTGGCGGAGCAGCACCCATGCCACTGCCAGCCCTGCCAGAACAACGGTGAGCCTCTGCTGACCGGCACCAGCTGTCGCTGCATCTGCCGGCCTGGAACCTCGGGACCGGCCTGCGGAACGGGCGCCRTGACCGGAGAACAACCAGGTAGGACACAAGAAGAGGGTCAGCGATGAGAGGAGGGCACTGAACGTTCTTTAGACCAACAAGGTTTTGAGTCGTCATCTTTTCCTCTCGTCCATCCAGGGATGATCCACGGTAGCTGGAGCTGCTGGTCCTCCTGGAGACCCTGTTCGGGAGGTCAAAGGTCCAGGACCCGAACATGCAACAACCCCGCCCCCAGAGGAGGTGGTCGCCACTGCGTTGGACCTCAAACAGAGCAGAAGTCCTGTGAAGATCCTGACATGCAACACTTACAGTAAGGATGGACTCCTCATCTCATCTTCATCTTCATCTGCAGAGCCACAGAAGAAATATCTATCTAAGGTATTTTAGATAAATAAAATCCTAAAATGTTTCCTCAGGATGATGGAGCCTCAATGCTTCAGTATTTCTGTGACTCCACCAAAAGTTTGTGGACTTCCTCCAAACCTGAGGAACGGATTCATCGAGGTGAGATTGGGAAACTGTCCCATGAGAAAATAACAGATGACGGTGATTTTAYACCATATTTTTTAAATTAACCCCTTTCGAAGAGAATGGGACCAAATATGGAGCCCTGAGGTGCCCCGGAACCACCAAGTTTGAGTGCTTTCACGTCTGAAGTGCAGAAAAGAAATGTCTTCTCTATTTTTCCTTTAGAATCCTAAAGAATTTTACTTTGTTGGAAGCACGGTGCAGTACTCCTGCATCGAGGACTTCTACCTGGTTGGAAACGCTGTGGCCACGTGTGCCGAGAACCAGAAATGGAGCAGAGAACAGATGTTCTGTAGAAGTACGTCTTCTTGTCATAAACTTGTGTTTTAAGTGGACCAGAAGTTTGATTCAGACATTTCAGTCTTTCATGGTTAACAGTGTCATTGCTACAATAAATATAAGATTCAGATTCAGTGTTTGGTTTCCTTTCACTTCCCGATAATCAAAGTTTTTCTCCTCCAGGTTCCACGTGTAGACGTCCTCCAGTCAACCCCTCAGTCRTAGCCACACCCACCAGGGAGACCTATCAGATTGGAGACAGAGTGTCCCTGTCCTGTCCCGCCGGGTTGGTGCTGAACGAGCACATGTCAGAGATTCTGTGCAGTCCGAGTCTGCAGTGGTCTCCTTCTCCCGAGGACATTCACTGTAGACCAGGTAAAAAAAAAAACACAACTCACACATAGCTAAAAGCTAAAGTAGCAACAGGCTAGCTTAAAGTTACGGTAAATGGGTTATTAAAAGATGAAAGTAGTAAAACACTCAAAACAAACAATAATTAAAGTCACCAGGTAAAGACCAGCTAATAGCTAAAGAAGCAAAGGTTAGCTAAAATGTAAAAGAAGCTAATGGTAGCTAAAAGCTAAATGTAACTACTCACCTAATAAATGTTACAATACTAGCTAAAATATGAAAACAGGTAAAGATGGGCAAAAAGATAAAATGGCACAGGTTAGCCACAACCTAAAATAACAAAAGGCTAGCTAAAATGTAAAAGATGCTGAAGGATTTAGCTAAAAGGTTAAGGTATCACATGGCTAGCTAAAAGCCAATAGTAGCAAAACACACAATAAAACTAATACAATTTAAACCTTTTAAGACTAACTAAAAGCTAAAACTGGAATGGTTAGCTAGAACCTAAAGTAGCTGAAAGTTAACCAACATTTAACAGCAGGTAAATAGTAATTAAAAAACTAAACTAGCAAAAAGGAATCAAAAAACAAGTAAAACAATTAAAAATAAATTTTAAAACTTAATTGGCTAGCTAAAATCTAAAAGAAGAAAAATATCAGCAAAAAGCTAAATGTAGCAAAACCCCAGCTACAAGCTAAAAGCAAGCTAGCTTTAAGCCAATAAATACAAAACACAATAAAACAAACACAATTTATGTCAACTCTAAAGACCAACTAAAAGCTAAACTTGCTTAGCTAAAACCTAAAGTAGCTACATGTTAGCTAACATTTTAAAGCAGGCAAAGACTAGCAAAAAGCTAAATGTGGCAAAACACCAGCTACAAGTTAAGAAGCTAGTTAAAAGCCAGAGGTAGCAAATCTTTTAATAAAACGTAATGTAACTTCAGCTAAAATCTAAAATCTGGTAAAAACTAACAAAATGTTAAAATAGCAAAAAGTAGCAAAACAATGAAATACAACCTTAGCTAAAATGTAAAAGATGGTAAAGACCAGCTAAAAGTGAAAACAGAATTTTTAGCGACAGTCTAAATAAAAAAAGGATAGCTAGCACTCAATAAAAATAAACTCTTGACAAATTCTAAAAGTAGCAAAAGGCTAGCTCAAAGCTAAAAGTTGCAGAACAATAATTATTTTTGTTATTCTCAGTGCTRATAGCCGCAGCTCCTCCTCCTCCTGCTCTGAAGTGTGGTCAGTGGGAAACTCCAGGGAAAAAGGGCTGTGTGTGTAAAAGGCCGAATCAGTGTCAGTGAGTACGATTTATTAAATAAATAAATAAATAAATAAATAAATAAATAAATAAATAAATAAATAAAAACCATCATAAAAATCCTTATTTTCTCTAAACCTGGTTCAGGCCTTCCCTGCAGCTGTGCTCCAGGATCGGCTCAAACCACCGTTTGCTGGAGGTCTGTCGGCTCGGACTGTTGCGCTGTTTAGGCGGGACGTTCACGCTGGCCAACGACACGGACTGTGATTGGCCGGAGGAGAGGCCGTTCAGATCCTGCGAGGACTGCAGACCAGGAACCGTCTGTCAGGGTGAGCTCCTCCTCACGCAGCGCCGCCAGGCTGAAGGCAGCCGTTTTAATCCTCCCGTTCGGTCGCAGAATCTGCGAGAAAATGCATCTGCCAGAGTCCATCGGCGTGCCCGGGAGACTCCGCCCCCCTGTGCGTCAGCTCCAGCGGCGATGGCGCGGCAGTGACCATGACGGAGTGCGAGGTGGGTGCCCGCCGGTGTGCTGGTGAGAGCGTCCACGTCATCAGAATAGAAGCTTGTCCAGAGTAAAAACTAATTATTTCATTTTATTGTAAATAAGCTCAGATTTGATCAGTTTTTTTCCTCCTCGTGTTCTGATTCAACGTCTCAGATAAATGATTTTATTACAGAAAATAAAGACAAAACTGTCAAAAATACGTTTAAAGTTTTTATTTGATTTTATGAAGCGATTAGTACAAAAACTTCTAAGGTTTTTTTATTATTTGACAAAAACTGACAGATTTTTTCTTCTTTTTTTAATCTGATTTGTGTTTTCATATAAAATATCTTGTTGGTGTTTTCACTGCACTGTAGATGAATAAAAATAAACATTTTTAACATTTTCTTAACTCTTTAAAGCTGTTTTTTGGAGGTGAAGCTTCAGGATCATCTGCTCTCACAAACGCCCTCCTTCAGGATCTCAAACTGATGGTTCCCGCACCGCAGGGCGGCCGTGGCGCACAGGGTCATGCTGCGGGTCCTCTGGGCCGACAGCTTCACGCAGAACATGTGGGCTCCGGTTCTGGGGCACTCGGGAATAGATTTGCACTGGCAGGTCTTAGACGCTGGAAGGAAGGGAGGAGAAGTCCGGATGTGACTCACTTTAAGGTTTAAACCCGTCTGGTTCTGGTCCTGGTCCCTACCTGAGCAGGTCTCCCATTCGTAACACGTGTCCAGATCGCACGGCTTCTGCTCGGAGCTCTTGGGCGACATCTTGGCTCGGAACCGGGCCCACTCCAGTTTGGACGAGTCCGCCGGGTCGCACGGTCCCTGGTGGATGAAGAGGAGCGGGTCGCCGTGGCACCGGGCCGCGTGGAAGGAGCAGAGGGACGTGGACACGGCCACGTCGATGTTCACGTTCAGCACGCACAGACTCTCCGGATGGGAGCTGTCGGGGTTTTTACAATCAATTAAAAAACATAAATAATAAAAGATCAAACCTTTTTGTAAAACCTGAATATCAGCCGATAGTTTAAAGGATCTGCACACGAGCTAAATTAGGCAAATCTGTGAAAAGGTAAAACATTCAAAACCACATCTTATAGCTAAAACTTGTTAAACTGAAAGCTAGTTAAAAATCAGCAGAGCTAGAAGCTAAATTAAACAGTACAGGAGCTAAACGCTATCAGAAGAAAACAGTGGCTAATGGCTAAAATTAGCATAACTATGAACAAAAACCAGCTAAACGTTAGCTAAAAGCTAAAACAAGCAGAACAGTAGTAGCACGTACATGTAGATGAGACTATCTGCGTCTAAAGAAAAGTAAATATATAAAAAATAAGCAGCTAATAGCTAAAGAGAGCCATAGATAATGCTTTAAATTAGCGTAGTAACTAAAAGTTAAAATCAGCAAGACTATAGCAGCTAAGATAACAGGTAAAAGTAGCATAAAGGCTTAAAAGAGCAAAGGGAACAATAATTATTCATTATCATTATTATTACCATAGTTTTATACTTTAAATATTTAAAGCAAAAAACTATGTTTTTTATAGAAACTACAAACAGTCGTGTGAATGCTGACTCAGCAAAACTGAACTGACAGGCAGCTTTCTCGCTGGACGCAGACACATCGAGAGCCCTGCAGCGTCTGTCCCAGACCGCACTGACCGTCAGGAACAAATGGATCTTCTGCTCACAGAAACAAAACAAAACRTTTGTTTTTGTTTGTGATCATGTGAAGCTGCGAGAACTCAAACCGTTCATTGAACCGTACCGTTGGTGCAGCGCAGGTCAGCAGGTACCGGAGGCTCCCAGGTGAGTTTGCTGTTGCACCTGTACGTGCCTCGTGGCATCGGCAGCAGGCCCGGCTCGTTGCAGTTCAGACCGAACCATTCGCCCACTCTGTACACATCTTTGGCGGGAAACAGCGTCATGTCGTCTGGGATTTCCGGAGGGACGCAAAGCCTTCCTAAAAATAAAAACCACAGAAACGCTTTTAAAGTGAAGACAAAGAGTTTCTTACTGTGTGGTTTTTACCCACTGAACAAAAGATTCAGCTGGAGTCCCTCAGGGTTCAGTACTTGGACCAGTTATTTTTTATTTATACATGTTTTCCTCAACAGCACAGGCTAAATATTCATTGTTACGCTGATGATACGCTCTTATATTTTATACATGAAGACTGTGACTCATCGGGCTGCAACTAGTGGTGACTAAATGGAGATAAAATGGTGAGAAAAAATTTTCACTTAGAATCTGTCTAGATTCCCACACAGCAAAATATGTAAGGCATAGATCTGGCCCACATGAGGCAGACTCTAAYACTCAGCCCAGGTACCACAAAGAATGACGGCAATTTGTTGGCTTACTCTAACCAAACCACAACCAGGCCAGTTGTGGCATTGAAAGATCTGGGCCACATAAACCACAACTGGGCCAGATGTGGCATCAACAGATCTAGGCCACCTAAACTGAATCACAACCGGGCCAGTTGTGGCATTGACAGGTCTGGGTCACCTGAACCAAACCACAACAGGGCCAGTTGTGGCATTGACAGGTCTGGCTTACATAAATCAAACTACAACTGGGCCACTTGTAGGATTGACAGATCTGGGCCAGTTGTGGCATGCCATCTTAGAAACAGTGCCATCATTGCCAGACCTGGCCCACATCCGGGTGACAAACCACCTGCCATGCCAGCAGTGGTGCAGACCTGGCCCACACCTGTCCGTTATGTGGGCCAGTACTTATGAAGCGTTAGCCTCTGTAGCTCTCGTCTCGTACAGACTGGAGGTAAACGGACTCACTGACACAGCGTCCACTCGGTGGTCTCCAGGTCCCATCAGGAAGGCAGCTGATGAACTGAAAACCRTCCAGTTCAAATCCAGTGAAGCACTGGAACTCCTCATCCTCACCGAAGCTGTAGTACTGTTTGGCTTTCTGTCAGAAAGAAACAAAATCTGAAACTTTTGTCCCGTAGAGAAAACAAAGACGAGTGTTTCTGTTGTTACTCTGAGGAAGCTGTTGGCTGGCCTCTTTGGCCTCAGGCAGCCCTGGACCCCCGGCGGCAGCTCGTCCTTCCAGCCCACCGTGAAGTCGTTGTCGTTGTCGCAGGACTCCTGCCTGCAGGAGATAACAGGACCTTATGTTCTAATTTGTTCTTGTTAAAAAAAAACAGTTGCAGTTCATCATTTACTTTTCAAAAAGAGAGATGTGACACGGCTCCTCCTGTCGGCTCGGACCCTCGCAGGGCTGTCCTCCACTGAGGGGGGCGGGGTTATYGCACTTCCTGGTCCGGTGCCTCCTCATGGTGCCGCCGCAGCTACTCCATGGGCTCCAGCAGCTCCAGTAACCATCCACCGCCTCTGTGGCAGGATCAAACCACTGATCTGTGTTACTGGATTGGACATGGCCTTTAAGGAACTGTGTGGCTTTATTCCTTGAATTTAACATTCGMGTCAAATTCTGTTTTTGTTTCCTGGTTCCAGTAAAGCTGGGTTCACACCAGATGTGTTTTGAGCAGTAAATAAAGTTTTSAGCGGCCGGTTTACATGTAAAGTCTATGGTGGACTCGCGTCTACGGGTCTACGTGTCTGAAGCGGTAGAGCGTTTGACGTGTGAGGTGAAATAACCTCGTCTTCTAGTTCTGTGGAACTGCTGCAGCTCAATGAAGAGAGGAACTCTGAAACAGGCTGGTTGAACAGCAAGAATCTTTATTTTGCAGTCCAGGAGATTACAGCCAAAAACTAAATTATGGCCTCCAAAGCCAAATGATTCACCAAGTAAGAAAGATGAAGTACGAAGGCCAAGAGCGGGGGMGTACAAGGCTCTTTATAGGCTTCACAGATGTACCATAAATTTTGTCACGGTATACCTTAAGCTTTCCTCTTCCTAATATGGTAATATGTGCCGAGCTCTGAAGCTGGAAAACCAAGAGACATCACATCTGTACATTCCTGAGAAGAGGCCCCCACTCTTGGACACTACACATGCAGGCGGTGCGTCCAAAGCAGCCAACGCTCGAGTTCAAAAATCTGAAATTTTGCTGCTCGACGTGCCGCGTCAACCTATCAGAGAATCATTTTTCAACGTGACGGTTTAAACAGACGGACAGCTGCTCTTTAGCTGAAATGGACCGTCTGCAGTTGATGTTCTGGCTGGAGATATCAGCTCCGATGTGGGTCAGCAGCTCGTTAAACTGACCGCGGTGTTAATAATAATTAAATAATAATTAATAATTAAAGAAGAATCTGATGTCTCTTTAGATTAATTTGAGTCACTATCAGAGATTAGGAAGAGTTTAAATAAGATTGTTTCAACAAACAAAGATTAGAGACTTTCTTTTCCAAAGAGTTCCCCTTTGATGTCACTTCCTGTTTCACTTTGCTGAGCCAAATTCAAAAGAAAATATGCCAGTTAAGAGACAAAATAGGTAAAATCATATGTACAGTATTATGGTAATTTTCTTAAATATAAAGATATTTTCTGTGACTTTGTGTGTCTGAAGTTTAAGGATGTCACAGGCCCTTTAAAGCAGCAATGTTAGCGACATTTTTAAAATTTGCCTACAGACGTCTGCTGCAGGTAAGATACTGACAGGTCGCAGATCGTTGATATAACCCGGCTTTAATCAACCTGATCCTGGACCGTCTGCGTACCTGAGGTGTAGTCCGGAGCCCGTTTCTCACAGTTGGTACCGAAGGTTCCGGTCTGGCAGACGCACTTGCACTCGGTCCCGGACAGAACGGGCCTGGCGTTGTTGGGACACGGCGAACACTTACAGGTGTCGAACTCCTCCAGGTACTGCAGCAGGGCCTTCCTCAGGTGCCTCCTCTTCGTCACGGCACAGGGAATTCCCCGGACCAGATCGACGATGGGAAGCATCTGAACGAACGCGGACACATCGTGAGATTCATAAAAGAACGTCAGGTTTCTGATCAGTCAGTGTCTTACCTGCAGCAGACAGCTGTCTCAGTTTGTTTAATAAAGAGAAACAGACAGAAACTGTTTTTTTAAATAAGTTTCTGTCTGTTAGCTTGACTCCCCCAGTTTCTCCAAACTGAGACTCTGACTACTGTCTRCTGCAGGTAAGATACTGACTGAACATCACCCCACCTCGGACAGTTTGAGTGTTTCTGTGAAGATCTCTGGGCCTCACCTGGTAGTCCACCACGGCGGGGTTTTCGAGCACGGTCTTGGCCCAGTTCTTGTAGGAGGTCCGGTCCGGAGCAGGACCCTGTCTCTCCCAGGCCAAAGCTGCGGCCTCTCTGGTTCTGCCTCCTTTCACCATGGAGAAAGATTTCTCTGCTGACTGGACGTACGAACCTGGACACAGCCGGTTGTTAACGAGGCTGAAAATCTAAAGCTAAAAACAGAAGGACATTAGCTAAAACATGCAACATGATAACTTGTAGCGTAATGTAACAAAAGGCRAGGTAAAAGCTACGTAGCAAAAGGTTGGTTAAAAGAGAAAGTAAAGCTAAAGTAGAAAATATCTAGCTAAAAGCTAAAGAATAGCTAAAACCAAAACAATCAATAAAAGTAGCAAATGAGTAGATGAATTTGAAAAATACAAAATGATAATTATCAAAARGCTAGCTAAAAGCTAAAATAGCAAAAGGCTAGCTAAAGGTAAGAGAAAGCCATCTAAAAGAACCATAATAGTCACTAAATGTAGCGACTAGTTTAAACCCAAAGTAGCAAATGTGCAGCTAAAGCAACAAACGRCTAGCTAAAAGTTGAAGTTACAAAAAAGCCTAGTTCAAAGTAACAGAAAGCCAGATAAAAATATTATAATTGTCACTAAGTAGCTTCTAGCTAAAATCGTAAGTCACGAAAGAACAGCTAAAAGCCTTATATGCTAGCTAAAAGTATAAAACAGTTGCTAAAAGTAGTATATGACTAGGTTAAAGGTAAAAGCAGCAAAATGACCAGGTAACAGCTAAAAGTAGCAAGGAGCAAAAGGCTAGCTAAAAGCAACAAAAAACACCTAAATGTAGCAAATGACTAGCTAAAATCTTA